TGGAAATAAAAGTAACGTGAAATCGTAATTATCTTCAGAAAAAGGAATATATATGTGCTAAAGGGTAAACAAAAGGATATGATGTAGATGTATTCGTCTGAAAAAGATTTTACAAATGCAACAAATCCCCTTATACATTGATTGACAATTGATTTTGGAGAAACTCTTAGATGTCTTCGCTAGATTCATTATCCCAAATTTATTATAACATCACATTTTATAAAATATGATATAGCAAAATATCTCTCTAATTTAACCCATTAATAACTAATGAAATTACCCCACAATCAACCACATTTTTTTATAGAATATTTAGCCAACTAATCACAATTATACCTAACATATTCTACTATATATATAACTGGTTTTGGGAGATAATCACGCCCAACGAAATTTATCTAAAAGTAAATAAAATTTTACCTAGAATAACCTATTTTTAATAAAAAATAGCTAAAATAACTTTATCATTTTTTTATTGCCGAAATAACCTATTCTGGATTTTTTTTCTTTCATAATACCAAAATTGTCCTTGGCAGACTCTGTCGAGATATTGGCAGACTTTGCCGAAACATTGGCAGAGTTTGCGTATTTCTAGATATTGGCAGAGTTTGCCAATACATCGGTAGAGTATACCAATGTTTCCGCAGAGCCTGCCAATGATTTGGCAGAGTCTGCCAATACCTTGGTAGAGTCTGCCAATACCTCGGCAGAGTCTGCCAATATTTCGGCAGAGTCTGCCAATGTTTCGGCAGAGTCTGCCAATGTTCGGCAGAGTCTGCRAATGTTCGGCAGAGTCTGCCAATATTTTGGCAGAGTCTGCATATTTTTAGATATTGGCAGAGTCTGCCAATACATCGGTAGAGTCTGCCAATGTTTCGGCAGAGTCTGTCAATATTTCGGCAGAGTTTGCGAAGGACAATTTTGGTATTATGAAACAAAAAAAATCTAGAATAGGTTATTTCAACAATAAAAAAAAATAGTAAGGTTATACTAACTATTTTTAAAAAAAGGTAGATTATTTCTAAATTATATATTTGATTAATTTGAATACGAACCGAACATAATTCATCGTTTTAATACTTGTTTTCATTTTTCTATCCATTATT